AAGGAAGGAAGGAAGGAATAGAATATCCTAACAAAGATTCTAGACAGAAAGGATATTTCAGAGAAGTAGAGAATTCTCGAGAGACAACTTAGAAACGAAGATGTGGGCACCAGAGCCATATAAAGAGCATATACAAGCACAGAGCCATATAAAGAGAAGGCTGTCTAGTCCGGGGAAGCAGAGGAGTGCAACGCATCTCATCGCCTGTAGACAGCTGTCTAGGGATGGAATACAGACTCCCTATCTTTTTTTCCCCAGTGCCCTTTCCATTCCTCTGTGTTGAGTCTAATGAAGTTTGATGAGGGAAAAGAGGCAGGGCCATATGTGGGATGACATGTCAGTTCAAATGAGCATCAGGACTGAAAAACAGTACCTTGTCTCCCTCCCAACAGTGTCCCCCTGGGGAGACAGGCCAGTACCAAGACTGTGGCAGAGGTGTCCTCTGGTCAGAATCAAGTTGTTTCTTTGAATCCAGTGGGTCACTACATCACTCCAAAGACCCAGTTACATTGACTCAAACTCAAAACATAGCCAGATGTTTTGCAAAGCAACTCTCCTGCCTGGACCGAGTTTTGCCAGGCAAACCTGCCACCTACAACACACAGACGGGTTCATGACATTTCTTTGGGACAACTCAGAGGCACTTGTCTCTTCCTAGAGGCAGAGTGTCCTTCTAGTGGGCTGCATGCTGCCAGGTAAGTCTGTGGAGGAGCAGAGCCTTGCTTCTGTAAAGGAGGGCTGTACCCTTGATGGCTGCGGCTGCCACCGTTGCTCTTCTGGGCACTATGCCAGCCTGGCAGGCTGCTCACTGGGTGTGCATGTTCACCTGCAACCTTGTCAGATGTTCTCAAGAAAGGCTGTGTCTGAAGGAAGGGGAAAACATAAATATTTTGTCACATTTTTAGGTTATTTTTCAGAGCCTGGAGTCTCAAGGGGCCAGCACTGCATAGAGTGAAGGCCTTCCCATCTCCACCCCCGCAGCTCATCTCTGATCCCCATCCTGTTGTTTGTTGTCAGGGGCCTGAAGGGAGATGCTGGTGGGGAGACAGAAGCAGGGCATTTTCTAGAAGTTACTCCCATTTTTATCAGAGGACTACATCCAATGTGAGAGGGCCACAAGGATTCCCAGGCCATGTGGCACAGGATGCCATGGTCTCAGATTGGGACCTGACCTAGGAAGTGCAGTGTTCTACAAGAGTCTAGAGTAAGCCAAAGTAAAGACCCATATCTGCTCCCTGGGGTGGGGAAGATCTGGAAGGAGTCAGACCAGAGCCTTGATGTTGTATATAGCAAGGTAGAGCCTGCTTGCGCACAGGTGCTCTTCTGGGCTCCCTCCCACCGTGTCTGCACACCTATCGGAACTTCCAGCTAGGAATAAAACCCAGGGCACCCAGTCAGGGCATTATAAACTAAGCTGAGAGGACAGCCAGTCTCCTGTCTACAGAGTCAAAAATGAAGTCATGCTGACACCTGTCCCACAACCTAGTCCTTTTGCTTGGAAGGAGTTACATACATGCTTTGGAGTCTGCTGATGGTCCGGGAGCCTGGAGACAAGGTTGTACTGTTCACAGGCAGCCTGGTCTACAGGCGACTTGTTGTTTTCTGTATAACAGGGATTGGGGACGAAATCCAGAGGAGAGGCTAGGAAGAAATGGGCAGTAGTGGCCTGAATTCTAAAGTCTCTGTCTACTGGCTTCGTCCCTGGTCACTCACAAGGGCAGCCATGTAGACTTCAGCACCCTTTATCAAGGGGGTGATAAGTAGCCTAATCCTGGATCCCAAGAAGGTCATTCATAACTCCTGGTATATGGGGGCGTGGTGGTTAAATCTTTACTGAGTGTAATCTTATTGCATATCCTGGCTGTAGGTGGTAATTCTTGGTGGATCTTCAGCTATTGGCATTCAAGAAACCAAAGCAGAACAGACTGGAGGTGGAAAAACACCACAGCTTAATACATTTTGAAGGACAGTGAAAAAAGACCTTGGCCCCAAATCAGATTGTTCCTGATCTAAAATTAAAAGCGACTTAAGCCTTCGCTTTGGAGAAGAGCAGCAGATAATGGTTGTCAGGGTAGGCAGAGCGATTGCTTCTCTGTTCACCTCATGGCTCAGAGCAGACCTTTCCAAGATTTCTCTGGGTAGGATTATTTACTGTCTTAAAAAATACTTGCACTTTGCATGAAGATTTGCAAATGCCAGGCATACACGGCATGCCCGGTGCCCAGCCAAGCCTCTTGTGGTTCGCCTTGAAATGAGATCATTTCATAGTAAGAAGGAGGTCAGGTTGCAAAGAGGGAAGTTCATTTGGCTACATCAATATGTAGGCTGCAACAAGAATCTCAGAAGGAAAGTATGTGGCCCCACCATTACAGCAAACCCTGGGCACAAATCTGAACTCTTCAAAGACTGCCCACCTTTCAGTCCTGCCTGCTCCCTCACTTCTTTTACCTCATCAACCATTCTTCAGAATGATATGCCATGATAATTTCATTTAACAAGGCAGGTGGATCGCAGGAAACTTTCCAAAAATATCCTCCATTTACTTAGCTAACCCAAAAACAGGGACCTTCCTGTGCCAACCCAAGTGAAAAAGGGAGAGCTTTGCCCATTCCATCACCCTCTCCACACCTTGCTTCAATTGGGAGTCATTGGGTACCTTGGGCAGAGCCAAAAGTACATGTAACCATCTCTGTGACCTAAATACAGTTGACTCTTTGTTGGGGGAGTCAAATAGATATAAAACAGAGAAAAAATGCAAGAAAGTTCACGAAGGTGAGCAGGACTCTAGCTGAGCCACCAACGGGCTGTGGGGCAACTGAGCCAAGCTAAAGGGCTTCGATAGAGGCTTAGTCAGCTTTCTGAATTACTATAGCAAAATACATGTGACAACCAAAAAGAGCAAAGCTTTGTTCGGGCCATGGTTGGGAGGTTTTGGTCCATGCTCAGTTGATCTCACTGCCTTGGGACCTGTAGCCAGGATAACCATACCACATGATAACCATACCACATGATAGAAGCACACATGAAATGCAGCTGCTTACCTCACGGCTACTAGGAAACGAAGAAGTAAAGGTTCTTAGACCATTTCAAAGGCACCCTAATGACCAGACCTCCTAGTAGGTCCCATCTCTTACAGGTCCTACCACTCCCAATAGTGCCAAGTTGGGGACTTTACATAGGCTGTTGGGGAATGCTTCAGATCAAACTATAGCAATTTCTTTTCCTATTTCTATACTGATCAATTCTGTCAAGCATCACACCCATGGGATGATGCTTACATTCTTAAACTTTGAGCTTCCTAAGGTATACCAGAAGGTTCTGCTGATGTAGGTAAAAATCTTCCATAAAGAAAAGCTAGTAACAGCTTCCCCAGCAGGCTAGAGGCTAAGCATAACACACCACTTGAGTAAGGGATGCTGGTGGGCATCTATTAACCCAGGTGTGAAGTGTTAGCTCTGTTACTCTGGTTTGAGAAACATCTAAATTCTTTGAGCCTCCACTTCTCAACTATGAAATGGGAATAATAAAATTGTCTATGGTTTAGAACTACTGTGAAGATTAGGTGAAGCAAGCATTGATGTTATCAGCATAGGATCTAATATACAGTACTAACTCATCAGCTGTCTGCTGTTGCTAGTCCCCTCAACACTAATCTTATTTTAGTATAGCATGTAAGTTGGGGTGCACATGTGTGTGCACAAGTGTGACTGTGTTGCACACATGTGTGTGTGCATGTATGTGTATGTGCAGGTGCATACCCCTGGCAGAATCTATGTGGAGGCCAGAGGTCTACGTAGAATATCTTGTTCTATCACTCTCCATCTTATTTTTTGAGACAGGGTGTCTCATTGAGCCTGAAGCTCACTGATTGGCTAACCTGGTTGGCCAGTGATTCCCGTGGATCCCCTGCTTCCCCAGGAGTTGGTGGGGTCACAGGCATACATTGCCGAGCCCAGCCGTTTACATGGGGGATCTGCATCCAAGCCCTCGTGCTTGTCCAGCAAGCACTTCGCTCACTGATCCATTTCCCCATCCCCTTTAGTCCTTTTCATAAACACGATGTCCGAGTGCCTGATATAGAGTTATAATAAATAAATAAGATGTCAGAAACTCGAGGGACATACTCACCTGTTGATGGTGACCCCAGGCACCATTAGCTTTCCTGTTCACATGTAATCTTTCTAGAAACCAACCCTGGCGCTCTCCTTAGAAAGAACAGAGGTACACAAATGACCACCCCCCTCCGGTTGTTTCCAATTATTTGTTGATTCTGGTCTTTTCATGGAAAGGCCTTTGAAATACACTGCAAGGTTCCTTCCCCGGCCTTGGGTTTGTTTGTTTGTTTGCTTGGAAGCAACACGGCAGAGAGAAGCTTGCAGTGAGATCTGTAAAAGAAAAATTAATTATCCCCAAGCAGAAGCTGACCTTTAGCTGGCCCCCAGCTCTACAGCCTGAGCCACAGCTGCACCTGCTCCAAAGATGACAATATCCACTTGCTAAATACTAATAATTAGTCACCAAAGTGGGATAAAGAATGCAGAGCCAAGTGAACCTGCAATTACTGTACTCATGTGCAGCCCCTGCGCCCTTGGAGGGCCAATTACTCCAGCACATTACCATAATTGGACTGACGTGCTAACAGCATCTTCCATTCTTTGAAGGTGTCGCCATCCCCCTTTCCTGGCCCTCACACCCCAGAGCCTGTGGACTGTTCTGCCCCGTGCCTTCTGGCTCATGCTGGCAGCAAATGTCAGAGTTGCTCATCTGAGGATACCAGATGATCCCCGTGAAGGCTGAGCAATGTGCATAGCAGGTTCTGGAATGAAGGTCAGTGCTCCCCCTACTCTGCCTCTTCTCCCTCCCTCAACTTTGCAAGAGACGCCAATTGATAAAATGCCCCAGTTTTCCCTCTGGAATCGCAACTCTTTCTGGGGACCAGTTGTGTCGTTTACATGCTACTGAGTGGTGGCCTTGGAAGACTGGGTTGGGTATTTGACAGTAGGGGCACATGCTGCCCATGGTGAGAATCTCCCATTAGCTCTGGACTGCAGCCCCTGGAATGAGGAGTTGCTCTCCTCTGGTTCCTAAGGCAATGAGAGGACAGTGCGTAGGCAGAGGCAGGCAGTGTGGGGCTCAGCTAGCAGCTGTATCCTGCAGAGCTCGGCACTGGTGCAGGGGACAAAGCTCCCTCCAGCGGCTTCTCCGCTGGCCCCTGCTGCCTCCACACCACTTTATGAGGTGATCAGTGTCTGATCGATCGATCGAGAGAGGCTACTGAGCTTTGCATGGCGAGACAGCCGGCCTTTCCAAAGAAAAAGTCAGTTTTAATTTTTCTTCTTTGTTTTGTTTCCTTCCTCCTTTCCATTCCATTTCTTTGCCCATCCAGCGGCTGAACTTTTTTTCTAATGAGTCACTGTAACCTTCCAAAGGAAAAAGACTTAATTCTAGCTAAACTTCCATACCCTGGAGACAGGAGCCACTGGGGATGAGGCCTAAGCCTCTGGTCAGAGGGATACACGAAGAAAGAGCCTTCTGCAGCAGCCCTGGGTCAGCACGGGAGCTGGGGCTATTGGGAGGTGAGGATGGGAAACAGGCCTGGTGCCTACCACTGCCTGTCACCCAGCTGCACAGCATCTTCCCATTGGAGTCTATGTGCATAGCCTCTCCTGGGATGCCTTGGGAGACACAGAAAATTGGGTCCTTAGAGCTGGAAGTTGAGCAATGAGCACACTGTTGTACCTTAATCTCTCTCTCTCTCTCTCTCTCTCTCTCTCTCTCTCTCTCTCTCACACACACACACACACACACACACACACACACCCCTTGCTTCTTCCTTTTCTCAAGGCTGCTTCTGGACCTCATAGGCCCCAGGCTTTCCACTGTCAC